GACCTTCCTGTCGCAGTTGGCGCGCGGGCGTCGGGCCACGACCTCATGCTCACGTTCCCATGTGTTTGGCTGGGGGCCATGGCTCCAAAATAGGTGGTACCTGCCATCGGCGGCCCAATCCGGAACCTTCCGCGCATCCTGTGCTGCCACTCACATCTCTGTTCAATACCTCAACCTTCATTATATGCTGTAGTATTTTGTGGGTGTTTAGAAATTCTCCTTTCCTGGTAGTCAAGACATAACACGACAAATAATATTAGGCCTGCGATGGGTTGGTGCCCCATCCTGGGTTGTTCCCTGCCTTGCACCCGTACCTTCCAAAATGACCTCTGGAACAGTATGACCTTGCAAAGGACAAGGGGGTTTATTAAATGGATGGATGGATGGATAAAATTAGGCATAATGAATGAAGACCGTAAATAATGTTGCTTAAAGTCAGTGTCCACCTCAGATGTCCTTGGAGTGGAATATAAAGCGTAATGGTGTCAGGTACCATGATCTTATTTTTTACATTTAACAATGTTATTGCTATGGTAATATATCATTTTTGGTTTCTTATCCCTCATTTACAATATGAAATCTGTTACCAAGCATTTCAACTGGAATAGATTGAATTAAGTTTTAGGGGCCCTTCTGCTACAGGGAGCGGACAAAGTAACAAAAGTCCTGGAAGAATATGAGTTTAACTTTGAAGTAAATTACAGACTCGGTTACAAAAGTGAGTCATATTAGGTTGAATGCCAATTAGTGGTATGTGTCGGCTATAAAGGCGCTTGGATACGTGGGTTTTCAGGGAAATAACTAACGGAGTTACAAAGAGGCCGGATAGTTGCAGCCTAATTGCCGATGTCAAGGGGAACAGTCTCAGAAATCATGACAGCGTATGCCAAACGTGCGCAAGCTGCTTCAGCAGAGAGGATTCATGGTGCCCAGTCAAAACTTATAGGCAGGGATTAAGAGGCACTTCACAGCATAGTTGTTAAACACTATAAAAACATACATAAAAAAATGCAACATAAATGAATCATCTCTGTAGCATCTCTGTGACACACGCCTGAAGAACACTATGCCAAAACCCCCGCATCAGGCTCATTGCTGTTTCGAGTCCCTCCCAAATGTCTGTGCTCCTCACCCTATCTCATGTCCGCCATCTCATTCTTTCGGTCCCTACCCAGACCTCATGACCATAGGTGAGGGTAGGAACGTCGATCGACTGATAAATCGAGAGCTTCATCCCCCGGCTCAGCTCTCTCTTTACCACAACAGAACAGTACATCGTCTGCATAACTGCTGACGCCGCACCGATCCGCCATCGATCTCCCGCTCCCTTCTTCCCTCACTCATGAACAAGACCCCAAGATACTTAAACTCTTCCGCTCAAGGCAGTAACTCCTCCCCCACCAGGAGAGGGCGATCCACCCTTTTCCGGTCGAGAACCATGGTGCTGATCCACATCCCAGCCTCCTCACACTCGGCTGCAAACCGCCCCAGTGCCTGCTGCAGGTCACAGCCCAACGACGCCAACAGGACCACATCTCAGCAAACATGAGATCCTGAGGTCACAATACCAGACCCCCTCCACCCCTTGGCTGCACCTAGAAGTTTGGTGACAAACGGCAGCCCTAATAGAGTCCAACACCCACTGCATGCTTGCAGCCATACTGCTCTATCCGCGGCCTCTTTTGTCTCATCGCGGCCAGTGTACATAGATCCATAACCTGGTGTAAGGAGAACAAAACGTGAACCCTTGACTATTGGAAAAAGTATGTTGTTCTTTCAGCCTTGAAGATGGGTTTATGTTTGGAACCATAGCATGCCGCAACAATACGGGGATTCACGACAGCATGGGAGAAGCCATCTTCTGGGAGGCATTAGGGCTGAGGATCGCTCTGCATTGCTACATAATGCCCAAGAAATATGAAGTCGTTTTTCAGGACCAGTTACGCCATATGGTGCAAAAAACTGTTCCCATGGCGATGAAGCCCCCATATACACTGCTAAACAAATTCAAGAGTGGTTTCCCCAGAAAAAGTCAAATACCATCCATGTCCTTCTCAGTCACCAGAACTAAACATCACTGAAACGTTTTGAGAAGCGATGGATGTTCTTCTCTGTGAGAGTTTCCAGTTCCTCAAAAAACTGGAAACTTCCCTTCTTGAAGAATGGTCCAGTATTTGACTTGTGTGATAATATTCCAAAGACTGGAGCTGCAATGAAGGCAGTAGATGACCCCAGTCACTATTAGGTCGATAATATTTATATATTGCTAGATGTTTCTGTTATTTGGTCAACATTTACACCTGCCCTGCTCTGTTTGTTTAGATAGTTTTCTGAATTATTCTGTTCTGCCATAATGTTTTCGAAATGTATAATGCTGTGGGGCATGTTCCTCTATGATTTGTGTGTCTTTTAAGTTTTAATTTTTATTTTAGTAAAAATGATTAACAGGCCGCTGGTTCTTTGTTTCCTAAGCAACTTACCTCACTGTTATTTTTCCCAAGGAAGCGGTTCATTATTCTTAAGAATCATTTGTATTCAGCACAAATCATTTTAAATTCAGCCGCTACATTTCTCTCTACTTGACAAACTAGTGGGTCTCAGGAGATATGAAGTTCCAAGTCAAAGCCAGTGAACTGAACTGAAACTCTTTTCTGAAGTTTTTTTTTTCTTTCTTTTTGAGTTAAAATTTGTCTTATTTTAATTTGGTAATCAGCTGAACGTGGGAATTACCACTCTCATATCAGCAAAATTACAGTCACCCTGAGATGCATCATTCTTCGTGATTCTTGGGCCTCACAGTAGTGAGTATATAGTGTTCATTTATAATATTTATATACATAGTAGTTAAGGTTACCCTAGACCTGGGGTTCCCAAAGTGGGGGTTGAAAGAACAGTTGGAAAAATGTACAGCTGCAATGTTTGGGAGCAGAATCCTAAAACCAGTAACTGCATGGCTAGGGTGTGCTGGGAGCTGGATGGGCGGGGGATTTGGATGAGAACTCTGGACAAAAAAAATGAATGTTAATACGTCACTAGGGTGTGTGCATGTCGTGTCTTTAAGCCAGGTGCCCAAAATGAATTGCTTCAATATAATATTAATAAATAAATGTATCATTTATAAGATGTAATAACTATAACTGCCAGAACATAAGTAATAGCTGTCTGGGAACATTTTGGAGAGCCAACAAAAGTATTTTCGTATACTACGTACGGCATAGTAGCCTAAGTATTACTGATGGACTGCAGAGTATAAAAATACATAACGTGCATCTGTGTGTGCCTTTGCACACTATTCCGTATTTCAAACAGACATGTAATTGACAGTTAACTAGACACTTTAATTTCAAACTTTAAAACGTGCCACATTTCCCTAACAGCACCGCTCTCCTGCGCTGTCTGGGTCCATCTCGAAATCCCACAGTATAATTATCCGGTGAAAATTTTTAATTATTTTTTTTCCACAGCTTGAAGTGAAAATTACAAATGTAGGCGCAAAATAGGAGAGAGCGGTATTTAATTAACAAAAAGAAATAGGGACGACGAAAATAAATAGGACATAAGAGAAAAAAACAAAACAATGAGAATGTAAATTACCCTATATTATAAAATTCGAGTTCAACTTGTTAAATATTCAAGTTGTTAAATATTTCAGAGTTCAGACATTTCCCTGGAATGCAATACTGAATAACAAGTAGCCCTCCCGACTTCGAGTCTTCCCAAGCTCTGTTTTATAAAGTGTGAAATTTAACTCTTTTGTGTGTATTTCACAGGAAATAAATACTACATCAGATTGGCTTTTGTTCGGCGCCAGAGACTCCGTCAGCTCCTCCTTACTAATGAACGGGAAGGCAGGCGATCAAGCGGCGCGCTGAGTCACCGGAGCCGGGCAGAAGTGCGACCGAAGCGTGGTGACGGCGGGGCGTGTCCGGAATATGGGGCATGAGACCAAATAAGCTGACGGGGGTGCAGGCCGTTTATGCTGCATAGTGTTTACGCTCGTTACTTCATCATGATCGCGGATCGGAAGTTATGCAAAAGCTGGCCGAGACATTTTTTTAGATAATTTAATTCCAGGCAGGCAATTCTTCAAGACTTTCATTTGTGTCCCTCCACGTAATTGGCTGCCATAGAATGCGTAATGCAGACGTAAAAAAACGTTTAAAAGACGGCGCGACTCCGCTTCTAGGATGGTCTTTCATTTTCAAGCTGAGTGTGTTTAGGGTGCCGAGGAATTTTACGGCTGCAAAGAAAGGGGACGTTTCGAAGGGAAGATGTGATGGAGGAACCATGAGCTCACTTTTTGTAGGAAGGGAAAAAGGGAAACATGGTCCAAACAGTAATAGCTGTCTGGGAACATTTTGGAGAGTCAACTTTGTTTTTTTTGTGTTTTTTTTTTTGCTATTTTGCTGGTGATTTTTGCCTTTTTTTAATTTTTGTATGCTTTGTTTATGCAGGCTTGAGTCCAAGACTGCCGTGAGAGACACTGATGGAGCCACAAACATCCGTCTTCATTAGTCCTGTGCGCCTACTACTAAGTGCTTTCACTGTAATATCTATGCTCGTCACGTTTCAGGTCAGGAGCCAGTGTTGAAACATGAAGAGGACCCCCCCCCCCACACACACACACACTGACCCCACCCACCTCCACTTGACCCCACCCACCTTGTGGAATCCTCCATAAAACTGAGCAACAATAAGCAAAATGGGCAGGAAAATATCCAAACCAGTTTGTTGTCAAAATGCAACTGGCAGCTAACAGGCATCCATGACTGGGGAGGTCCCTGTGGCCCCCTGCTCATCTGAAACATACACAAAGATCGCAGGTAGTCGTATCTAGAATGACATGGCTGTAGGTGGAGGGGGGGGGGGGGTGACTTGGCATTTTCCTGTCTCATGCTTTGCAGGTATGTAGAGCCTCTCGCGGGAACCGGAGGGAGCAGCCGAGAGCCACGATCGCGGGCAGTTATGATTATGGACGCTAACTCAGTCTCGCCAAACAGGCAGGCCGGGACCTTCAATCAGCCCAGGGTCAAGACGGGAACACCCAAGGAGGAACACAATATGGTAATCACCGCTTTCATCAGCGCGACTGCAGCATATCAAAAGGGCAAAGTGTGTTAGATGGAGGCGAAGAGAAATCCTCAGGACAGGCCGTGGTTCGGCCTCCCTGTGCTACACCAGCTGCAACCGACTGGGTATTCCTGCCAGCCTCTGTGGAATAGCTTTCAGAAGTAGCCGAACTCAGATGAAAGTATTGGTGTTGTGTTAATGGTGTCACATGGATACTTGTGGTTCATCTTCAGTATGGGGAGAACTACTACACATAAAGTGAATTGAAAAAAATGTAATTAACTCTAAGTACTATTCATTTAATGGGACTGCAAGCAGCTATGAATGGAGAGTCGCCAAGGTGACCAAGGTTTGACTGCATAGTCAACATCTGTGTGCATGTGAAGTCTGAGGAACTGTTCTGGGGTCAGTATTGTCCTTCTGCTTAATGGCTGCGGTTTACTACCGCCCAGCGTGGGACTGGCGGTGGTGGTTAATTCCACGTGGGACCGACCGTGGCCAGATGTGATCACATTTGGAGCAAGATGGCGCTAGAGGCAAACATCCCTTCGGAATATGAACAAATCACAGCTGGCAGGGACTTGGGCTGCGCCCCCTACTGGTCAGGATCAGTGACACAAGAACCAGCCTGAAATGGCTCGGAATCTGCACCGCAAATAACTTAAACATCTTAGATTAGCTTGTGAATAGCAGAATTCTCAAATACCGCTGCAGCACTTGCATCGTCACACCGACTGCAAATGCTTCCCGGCCAAATTAAAAATTCTTTGATGTTCCGAAAACACTAAATGGTTTGGCAACTCATTAGATAACAGATCGACGGCATGCTATTCTGAGAGGGCCGTCAGATTCTGCTGACTACAGCCTCTGCCGTGACCATAGAGCTAATTAGGAATTAATTCTCAGACTGCCTTATTGTTTCCATCCCCAGGATGCAGAAACCTTTTTCCAGGTCTCCGAGTGACTGAGAGTTTGTTTAGCATCAAGCCCTGGACTGAACCCCAATGGAATTAAAAACAGGTATAAATCTTGAGGTGCATTACGCTTAGGTAGAGCGAATGATTGCAGCTCACGTGTAATTATATAGGAATGAATCTTTTACAGACCACTGGTGGGCGTGGTCCTGCTCCTGATGATTGCCGTTCATTGTCACAGTGGCACCCAGGTGACCTACGCCGGCAAGGGGAAACAAGGCATTCTTCATTAGCTTGGAATGAGGATGCATATTGAATCTGGATTTATCCGGAAAATGATTTTCATATCTCAGAGTGACATATGGGTGGAGTAGTGTATAAACACAGGACCCCCCCCCCCCCCCCACAACTAACGTTACCTGTTTAAGTCTCAGGTAATATGTTGCTGTGAGATACTCAGCAGCAAGATGGATATAAACTGACCAGAGTGAGGATTGTGACCAAGCTTGTATGCAAAGGCACAGACGAGTGAATGAAATGGAAGCCGTGTGGCTAAATATAATCAAATACTTATCATGAATATAATCAAAGGGGAAGGAAATGGGGGCTTGCAGTACGGCCTGGAGTCGCCAAAACCTCCTGAAAACTTTCCCTCCGTTGCATTTTATACCTGGTTTAATCCCCGACCTCCTCCCCACCCCAAACTTTATCCTGTCCCTCAACGGCAAAGTTTCTGAGGCTTAATTAGATGAAAAAGTAAAAAGGTGAAAAAGCAGCCTGGAGTTCCTTCCCTGCGCTGTAGCGGTGGTCATCCGGGCTGTGAAGATCCCCAATGTCGTTTGCCTGTTTGTCTCACTGCTTATTAGCATCTCGGACGAATTAATCCGCAGATTAAAGGAAATATGCGGCACCAAGAAATCTCACTGTGACGGGCTCACAGAAGGAGACGAGCAATAGCAATATGATAAGGTGATTCATATATTGATGTGTTTCTCCGAGGATCTATGTTTTATGTATTTTTCCATTTTGGGCTCAGTGCCCTGCAAGAAAGGAATGACATCTAAAACGAATTACCTTTCCCAAAGAAAGTTTAATTTTGTATGTATGACGTTCTTTAATCTCCGGTCTTCTTGGCTGCATGCATACAATGGCTTTTTCTTTTTTTTTTTTTTTTAAACAATGTAGCACATTGTTTACAAGGTATTTCTTCCATATGGAGCTGAATCTCATTATGAATATATGCAATTTCTGGAGCTGCATCTGCTCAAGTGAATGATTTGTGTTTGTTCCCCAGAGCCCCAATTACATTTTATTTATAAGTTAGATTAATTATAACAAACAAGGATAACACTTTAGTTGAAGCTGTCATCTATAATGCACTATAGTTGCCTTTATATGGCATTATAATGGCCGATATAAGAATTGATAAAGAATTATAATTATTATTAAGGATGCTTTGTACTGCATGAAGGTATCTATAGTGCATTATAGATTAGAGCTTCATAAAACATTCATAATGCATAATAAACAAGGCTATAATATGTTATGCCTTTTAAATAAATATTTATCACCGTGTTTATAATGCTTAATGAATGCATTATAATATGTTATTAATGTGTTCACAGATTCTTATGAACATGGCATTCACAGAAAATGTTAACCAAACAAGATTTAATTCTGATAGCCCCAGTCCTTCAAACATAATTCTAAATGCCTTTATGCCTTTTAAATAAATATTTATCACCATGTTTATAATGCTTAATGAATGCATTATAATATGTTATTAATGTGTTCACAGATTCTTATGAACATGGCATTCACAGAAAATGTTAACCAAACGAGATTTAATTCTGATAGCCTCAGTCCTTCAAACATAATTCTAAATGTTTTCTGGTTGTTTTTCAGTTTCAAATGTAGTCCCATTCAACTTAGGAAATCTGTTATGTTTCTGAGGCCAGACTACCCAAGTGGAATCATGTCAATGAAATAGGGCAGTAGAGCGGCTGATGGTGTGTCACATTGTTTAGGTTCTTGACGCTTGCGTCACATCTCCAAACCAGTTGGTGTGAGTGGGTGGGCATCTCTTCCTCCCAGCTAAGTGTCTATCCAGCGGAAATGAAAAGTACGACGTCTGCAATCTGCTCTAGGAGACGTCATGCCATAGAAGGTCCACGTTTTTATTTTTGAAGTTCCAAAAAAAGACTTGATTACAGTGAAGTTTATTTCGGACCATAAAAAGGTTACAATAACACTACATATGTTTTAAAGGATGTTTCCGTCAAGTTCATTACTGTTGTACTTGTCAACAGATGTTGCTGCTGAAAACAACTTAAATAATGTTGTTTATTTTGTATCATGTCGTCCAGGGGGGTGGGTGTGTTGTTTCTGGGGCCCCATTCAAAAAGACACTTTGGGGCCCGGTGTAGTGACTGTTTGTGGCCAACAGAGGGCTCCCAAACCTCAGGGCCCCCTTTGCAAATGCATTATTTGAGTGGTGGGCCCAGTGCTAAGAAAGCCACAGCTCTGCTTGGCCTCATATTCTGTGGGGGAGGCTACTATTCACTGGTGCTAGGGGGAGTCAGGTTTCAAAATCCACAGTAGTTGATGCAAAAAAACGATAAAGAACTCCTGCATCAAACACACTCCTCATTGGTGACTTAATCAGTGCCAAATGGATTAAAAAAAATCAAAGTGCTGTGAAACCAGGATTTGTTTCTTTGGTTTGAAAGACAAATGAAGAAAATGAATTTATCCACTATTGATTGACTTTAGGGACCATTTGAACATGGAAAGAACCTCCGGTTGCAGTCAAGCAAAAATGTAAATTGCTTTATATGAGACAAATGCATTTTGGAAAAAGGTCGTGAATTAATTCTGCTGACTGTAAAATGCAATAAGCAAGATACATTAAAAAAAAAAATCAATACAGCCACATAAAGGGTCAAATGATTGTTTATTATACAAAGTTCATTTTGCAGAAAAAAAGTGTAAAAGATTTAATAGCTTAAGGACTTAAAAGCTGCTCTTAGCTGAAGTGTATCTGAAACGTTGGCTTACAACGAGAAAATAATGCAAACGAAATGAGAGCGGCCAGAAAACAGTTAAAAAGTGGACTTTACGCCGCAGGTGATGGTTTTGAATGACACCCCCCCCCCGCCAGAAACAGACTGGACCTGCTCAGTCACCAGCAGGGGCGCTCTTTGTTCGCACTCTGCATGTTGGCGAGATGCTCGTGCGGATTCTGTCCGCCTTTGGCGGGGCGAGGTGTGCTGATGGGGGCCAGTTTTCCCAAGATAACCAGCTCAATGTAGAATCTACCGCCACTCTCCCCGCGTCCACCCCCTTTCCTGGTTTTATGGGAAGCTCCATCCTGAGCTGGTGACTTTGGCTGAACAGCTGGTGGGAGTGAGACCATCTCCCATAGGGCTCGCTGGTGGCAGACATACGCTAAGTGATCCCTTTGTGTGCCCCGGGGCGGGGGCACAGATGCTCTGGGGCTTCAAATCGATGCCCCAAAGGTACCCATCCCTCCATTAGAAAAAGGACGAATATGCTTTTTTTTTCGTGCGGTACAATACGATGTAGAATCCACAGGCTCATTCAGTCTCGCCAGTGTTATAATCAGACACAAGCTTTAACTGAAGTTGGTGTGGAAATTTTAAAAGACTACCCGGGTGGCGAGGTGGGCTACAATCCGTTGCGATATGATGCATTATAAACCACCCAACGGGCTAAAATAATTATGGGATCTGATTCAAAGGGGACGGGGCACTTTTTTAAATTTTCTTAAATATGCAGTTACGTAATGAGCATGAATTGAAATTTTATGCAGGTTCCTTTATTTTGCCCCCCCCCTCCACTCCCCTAGGACTGAGATGCAATTACGTGATGTGTGACGCTGCCGGTGCGGAGGAGGGGGCTGGGCGGCCTCTGCTTGGAGTCAAGGCGGATTCTCGGGCGGTTTTATTTCAGCGCAGCAAGTCGGAGGAGCTGGGCGCCCTAAATGAGCGAATCTCATTGTCTGCTGCTGACTGAACACCCGAGGAAAACGGTCCTGGTATTAAAATAGCGGTAACAGAAAAGAACGAGAGACTGCTTTGATATCTCACAGATAAGTAGCCTTATATGAATAGGAAAAAAAACGCAGGAACCCAGCCATTACAGTAAAGGAAAAAGGAAAAATGAACCGCTACGAAGTTCTTATAATATGAGCAAGAAGCGCGTTTTGTTCTAGGACGCAGTATATTGTTGCAATAAGATCTGCGCTCTTTTTTGGACTCGCTGAACACCACGGACATCCTTTGACTTCACATCGACTGCTTCTGCACTGCATTTACCGAGAGAGACCATTTATCCGCTTTCTTTTGAAAAGAGTTCCTCGTTGCTGCCACGATGAATTACCAGTCTGGTGTCCCGGTGTCGGTGTCGGTATCCGGTATCTCTCAGCAGTCACAGCCGACGATGCCCGCTCCAGGCACGGTACCAGCTCCGGTTCCGGTCCCCGTGCCTCAGCCCATGCAGTCTCAGTTCGGATCAGGATCCTCTTCTGGATCAGGGGCGGGTCAATTCGGTTCGGGGACTGTATCAGGCCAAGCTGCCCAGTCCGGCCCGCCGGGGTCCCAATTCATGTTGTCCAACTCGGCAGCTATCAGAGCTGAAATACACAGGTTCGAGTCGGTCCATCCGAACATATACGCCATTTACGACCTGATCGAGCGCATCGATGACCTGGCTCTGCAGAATCAAATCCGGGAGCACGTAATATCCATTGAGGGTAAGTGACTTAAACGCCACAAACACTCAGATTTCTGGTAACACTGGCGATTACGGTGCCTTTCACTGGGGACGGGCAGCCGCCACCGCTTACGGACAATGGCCACTGTTCAGTATAGTACAAGTCATACCACCGACATAGACTGGACTTTGCACAAAAAGCTCATTTTTAATAAACGCTCCGTTTTTGGAATCTGCTTTGTATCGCAGTACATTCGATCCATGCCGCTGTAATCCTGTGTATAACTCTAGGTCCAGCATAAGTTCATTGGTATTATGGGCAGTACCATGTAAGTCACATTTATCTATTAATTTATATAGACCAGACTAATGGCTACGCCTCAATATTTAATAGCAGCAACATTCTGCTACTTCAGCTGGCTGATCCTGTTATGTTTCCATTGGGTCAGTAGTCATCATCCAGGTATACACAATAGGCAGGCATGTCTACGCTGAACAAGAGGGGCTTGCAGCTTCGTAC